TATTATCCAATTCAATTTCAGTTTAGTAAATGTTTATTTGGTTTCAGGTATGTGCCAATGACTTCTAAATAGTAAAAATGTCAAAGTGAACTAGATACATGTGTTTGGTCTAGAATAGCGATATACACTGAAACAGGTAATCGGGGGTCTGGTCCTTGCTAGGCTTTAGTAGCAGAAGAGTATCGTCCTTGCTACAGGGAGAGAGATAGAGAAAGGACATCACCATTTTGATTCCTCTCTCACCACGTCCTCTTACACACAACCTAGGATGTGAGGGGCACTTGGCATAACTTTATTATTCTCAGCCTTTGATGCGGCTTCTGAAACTTGGCTTCTAAAATTTGGAGATCACAGAAAACACTGCATTTAACAGCCTGTTACAATGTTTGCTAAAATGTTTTAGAACTCAAAAGTGTTATACAAGTGTTGTAGTTAACATAACAACATATCCAAATTAAGAGTGGTGGGACCAGCCATCTTGTCATCCAGAAACCTGAAGACTGAATACGTTTTCCCCTGGATAGAATCAAGGGTACTGAATGTAGGACATGTAGTCGGATCAGTCTGCAAATAGTCCTTAAAAATATTTAAAATTAGGAAGAGGTCTGTGTTTTTAGATTTTTTTTAATGTTTGTTTTTGAGAGAGAGTGACAGAGCATGAGCAGGGGAGGGGCAGAGAAGAGAGGGAGCCTCGGAAGCACGCTCCGGGCTCTGAGCCGTCAGCACAGAGCCCATTGTGGGGCTTGAACCCACAAACCATGAGATCATGACCTGAGCTGAAGTCGAATGCTCAACCGACTGAGCCACCCAGGAGCCCCTGGAAGAGGTCCATTTGTTCAAGCAGTTTTAAGACTTAAAAAGGATGAAACTTTTTGTTCAATGAAAGAAATAGAGGGTTAGAACCAGGCAATGCCCTTTGCCATTAACAAGATGATGGAGACAACAACTCAAGCCCTGGTTCACTCTGAGTTTTGGGGAGAGCTCCCGTGAGGCAGGTGGGTGGAAGGCAGAGGCACAAAAGGATACACAGAAGGATGCTGAAGAGGCCAGACGGGGCCTTTTCTATTGACGGACTGTGGGAGCAAAGCATTGTGAACATCAGCCTGCTGGTTTCCTATCACGGGCCTTTCTCAAACACTGGCCTGTTGTCATGGTGCTGGGGTAGGAGGTGGTGATAAAGGGATGGGTCATGGCTAGAGCTTCCTTACCTTAAAGCAAAGAGGCAAACACCACATATACCTCCCCAAAGTACATTTTTCCTTTGGCTAGTATTCTGGGATTTTTATTAAACACTTAAGATTTTCTGATTTATTTGCCTTCAGTCAAGGAGAGCTTATATCTTCATCCTTTGAACATAGGATGTGGCAGATCTTGGGGAGTCTCCCCCCCCCCCCCCCCCCCCCCCCCCGCCCCTCCTCGGTGTACTGCTCAGAATGTCATCAGGTAGGTCAGTGAGAGCAACATACAGCTGTACCCAGGTGATAAAGAGGAGAGGAGATTATGTCTTTGTTTTTATTTTACTTTCTTTGGTATGTGTGGGGCATGGTGCCAAGATCTTGTCTTCTTTAGTTTCATGTAAAGTAATTGAACTGTGTTCTAAAATGAATCCTGACGTTTTTTAAATACTTTTTTTAAACAATTTTTTTTACTGATTTGTTTCACTCCTTTTTTTAAAACTTTTTTTTTTTTAGTGTTTATTTATTTTTGAGAGAGAGAGACACACACACAGAGTGCGAGCGGGCGAGGGGCAGAGAGAGAGGGAGACCCAGAATCTGAAGCAGGTTCCAGGCTCTGAGCTGTCAGTACAGAGCCCGACGTGGGGCTCGAACTCACGCACTGTGAGATCATGACCTGAGTCAAAGATGCGCAACTGGCTGAGCCACCCAGGCACCCCAACTGATGTTTTTACTTTTGGCTGGTAGAAGAGCTTAAGTTTTGTTCCCTGTGTGTCTGGGTGGTGAGCATCCCAGAGGTGAGGGCTTTGTGTCCCGTCTCCTGCCTCTGCCACAGCCTGCCAGTTAGCAATGACTCTGTAAGTACACGCTTGGTGAGCCCCGGGGTGTGTGAATGCCCAAGTGCAGGCTTGGCACTGCTGACCAACGAGGCAGCAAAATGGGTATTTTTCGGCTAAATTCCTTCCCAGGATGATCTTATATAGGTTAATCTTTCTGCATATAAAAACTTTCCCCGTATCTAAAATTGATACAGTCCTCACAAAACCTAACTGACTCCCGTCCCCAAACTCCTTGCTGGTGAGGACAGTGATGGCCCGGTAGGAAGCTGCACTGCCCCCACAGCCTCTAGAAGACCCAGGGCTTGCCTCTGGCAACGACTACTCCTTTGTGAAGAGGGATTCACCTACTAGACAATTCACCCATTTAAAGTATACAATTCAGTGGATTTTAGTGTGTCCATAGACTTATGCACCACCCATCATCACAACCAATTTTAGAACATTTTCATCACCCCAAAAGAAGGCCTGTACTCATTAGTCATCCCTCCCTAATTTCTCTTCCACCTTCACTCCTAGGCAGCCACCCCTGTGTATAGATATGCCTGTTCTGGACACGTCCTATAAATGGAACCATACAAATTGTGGTCCTTTGTAACTGGCTTCTTTCACTTGGCATAAGGTTTTCAAGGTTCATCCATGTTGTAGCATGAATGAGTCTTTTGTCCTTTTTTATGGCTGAGTAATACTCCATTGTATGGACACACCCCATTTTGTTTATCCATTTATTAATGGGCACTAGATTTGCTTCCACTTTTAGGCTCTCATGAGTAATGGTGCTGTGAATACTAAATGGTGCTATGTATACTTAGCTGAGGAGTTATTTTTATTTTTTCACTTTGTCACTTTGGACCAACACACATCCTTTTAGAATCCAAAAACATATTTCTGACAGCAGAAATCCATGGAGCACACATCCTGTAGAAGAATGGACTGAAGGGTAGTTTAGAGAAAGCACTTGTTAATGCAGCTGGGGTCAATTTTCGGGGAAGTAAGTTTAATGAGATTAATAATTTTCTGTGCGTTTCCCTAAAATATGCATTAACCTGCATTTTTATCATTTCAGTTATGATGGTGTGATTGACTAACCTGATGTAAAAATCTGAACCTATGTACATTCAGCTTAATTCTTCCCTTTATGCCTATTCATTCCATGCCAGTCTTTGCACTAGGTGATGAGGATATAATGATAAGCAGACAGGGTCTGTGCTCTCGAAGTGCTTATGTCCAGTGTCTCTGAGGATGGAAGGGTGGCCATGGGTGTGTATAAGGAAATCCAGGATGTGGGACAACATGGTGCTGTCTGCACTGTCAGAACTTCAGAGGAGAACCAGAGTAGACTTAGGGTGGGATAGTAGGGAGGTCAGGAGAGCATCCAGAAGGAAGTTCACAGCCAGGCTGGGATCTAAAGGAGGAGTGGATGTGAATAAGCAAAAGAGGGAGGGTGGAGAGGAGGAGAGGGAGAGCGAGCGAGTTCCTAAGCAGAAAGTTGGGCGTGTTCTTTGCATCACCTGCTCTGGAGTTAAAAGGGTTCAAGATGAGGTGCGGTGGGAGATGAGGGTGAAAAGAGCAGAGAGTGGCCTGGTACCCTTGAAAGCTGCGTCAGATGGTTTGGACTCTGACCCAAGAGCAGGGAAGTCATGAAAGGGAGCCACATGAGCGGGTCTGCATTTTGGTGGCTTGGAAGGGGCACGTTGGGCCAAGGGTGGGACTTGTTTCCCTTGCGGTGTGAGGGCAGGTCACCTGCTGTGGGGTTCAGTCAGAGTTTTGAGGATATGGGGGGATTCAGGAAGCGTCACTGTGGAGAATGAGGTGAGCCTGTGAGTTAGAGAAGCAGTTCTGGGTTACTGTAAAAAGATGAATATTTTAAGCCTACATCGTCAGACATTGTGGAGGGACAGGCCCCAGGGGTGTGGTGAAGCATTACACTTGCATAATTGTGGTTCAAGATGTCCCTTGCCTCCACTGAACTGTGTGGAACTGAGCTACCTTAATTGAACTAAAAATACCAATAAAAAAAAGAGAACGGAAAGTGCCCAAATTCCGTGGATGATGGTGTGCTGGTCCTCATTATCCTTCTAGCACACAGCCGGCAGGTCCCTGGTTGGTTCCATAGAGTTGCCATTTATTCTTACTTTGAAACCGAAAGCCTGGAAGAGAAGCTAATTATTTCCCTGCTTCCAGGGATGCAGGAGGCAGGATTGGTGGTGGGGTGTGGGGGCAAGAGGATTTACCTGAGCCGTTATTTTGCAAATACTGGGAGGCCACAGTATCTTAGATCCTAGAGTCAGAGGGGGATTAAACACCTGGCAGGGTAGGATGAGGTGGGGGGTGGGGAACAGCCTACTTCGAGGATGGCTTTGGGGATCTCAGGAGTCATGTGCCTGCAGGCTTTGCTCAATGAGGTGCTCAGGCCGGAAGCACTAGGAAACTGGTCTGGGGTCCAAGAACTAGAGATGGTCTTCCTGCCCCAGTGAGGTGGTGCCACCAGAGGTGTGATGCCAAGGGCCTGGACAGCGGGCCTGCCATGGCTGTCTGCATGTGGTGGACAGGGGAGGCTACGTCGCCGTGGTCATTCGTTTATGTTTGTTCAACTCCCCTTAGATGAGGGGGCCTCCTAGGGGCTGAGAGTAGAATTAATCTCACTCTCTGACCCTCTCTGTATGTAGCTGTTACTACAGCTGAGAAACACCATGTAATGGTTCAGGCCACCAGATGGGTTTACTGCTAGGAAAAGCCACGGTTGTGGGCCACGTGGCATTTTGAGAGACCAGTTAGTCCGCCCGCATTCAGCCAGGCTGGCTCTCGGGGGAAGGACACCATGGGCAGGTGAAGATTTTTTAAGACTTCACTATATGTGTAGATGCCAGAACAGCCCGGATCAATTTGGCCCCCTTTCTGGAGAATGTAGGCATTCTTAGCTGCTGGATACACGACTTCCATTCCCTCTCCTCAGAGCAATGACTCGTGGCTGTTGTTCTCCGTCCAGGTATGCACCCGTTAGCCGCAGCAAGCCAGGAGGCTGACAGCAGCCGGAAGCTGACTCACTTACTGAACGCTGTGACCGATGCTCTGGTCTGGGTGATTGCCAAGAGCGGGATTCCCTCCCAGCAGCAGCCAGTCCGCCTGGCTAACCTCCTGATGCTCCTTTCTCACGTCAGACACGCCAGGTACGATCCTGGGGTGGGGGTGGGAGGGCAGCTCCACTGAATGTGTGTGGGGGGGGGGGGGGGGGGGGTTGCACGCATGTGCTCTGAGAAGGGTGAAGAGCTTTGAGAAAGCGTTTGCAAGTTTGAGAGTAATAAGGTAGAATTTTTACCTCTAAAGGAAAATAACCCCCTGAAAGGGAATGGTGGTGGTGGTGGGGTCCCTTCATCGGTGCATGAGCCTGTGGCCAAAGATTGGCATAGTGGGCACTGACTAGATGTCATGTGACCCCTTATAGGATATTTATGGCATCCTTCATCTGTTTTTTAGTTGCTGGGGCTTTGGGCTTGTTCACGGAATTCTAAAAAGGGCAGTGTCTCTCCTAACGTGACGTGCCTCCCCTCCCTGCACCACTACTCTGAGGTCATTTTCTTGGGGAGGTTAGATCAACTCCTGAGGCTAGTGATCTGGGGAAGTACTGAAGCAGCAAATGCATTGCTCCTGGGGGAAATACAGGGTTAGGTTCCTGAGAGGCTCTGGTCACAACATTTTCATCCTCCAATTCATACATAACCTTGGTGTACCTGTGTTTGTGTTTAAAGAGTGGTTCTGTTCTTGTGACAGCATCAGGATATTAAGAATGAGACCAAAGGGAACTGGCGAGGCCAGCAGGTTTAGGAAGGTAGGGCCGTGAGTGGAGTGTATTCAGGGAACACGAATCATGTGTTCTGACGACGAGGGACTCCCCTGGTGTAGGATGGTAGCTCTGTGCTGGGATAGTGATGCTCAGTGCTAGATGGCTCCCGGGACGAGGGTCACCCTGCCCTGGAGCAGGAAGAGGGGAGATGAGGTTGGAAAGTAGTTGCTTCCCAAGGAGGACGAAAGTCTGGGGGCTGTGGGGAAGGACAGTACTCACCTCGAGGATTATTACAAGGGGGCGGAAATGAAAACAACCTTTGCCTTGTTTCCTCTTGAATGATTATTTGCCACCAGGATCATTTTCAGAACAGGTACCATCCATTCTCATTATTCACAGATTCTGTATTTGCAAAGGTGACTACGTTTACAAATTTATTTGTAACCCCTGAATCCATACTCTATGGCATTTTTCGTGCTCACTCAAGGACGTGTGCAGAGTGGCAAAAAATTTGAGTTGCCCACACGTACATTCCCAACTGAGGTCAAACAAGGTGACACTTGCATTCTTGTTTCGGCCCTCATACTGTGAAGAAATGTCCTTTACGTGGTCTCTGAAGTGCCATGTTTTTGCACTTTTTTGTGCTTTTTGTTGGGAGATTTCAGTGTCTAAACGTGGCCCCCAAGCACAGTACTGAAGCACTGTCAGTGTTCCTAAGTGCAAGAAGGCTGTGATGTGCCTTATGGAGAGAATATGCGAGTTAGATCAGCTTTTATTCATGCATGAGCTATGGTACCATAGACTGTGAGGTAAATGCTAATGAAGCGACAAGTTGTGTTAAACAAGGTGTCTTTAAACACAAACACAGGTACACCTAGGTTATGTATGAATTGGAGGATGAAAATGTTGTGACCAGAGCCTCTGTATTTTCCCCAGGAGCAGTGTATTTGCCGATTCAGTGTTGGTGGCAACTATATAGAACATAACTGGTATGAAAAATGAGAATTGCACTCTGTGCCATGTTCTGTCGGGCCACTGCGGGTGGGTGGTGGGACACTGAGGTGCTTGCCCTTCAGTGTAGATGATTGATGGAGCCAGATGGAAGGACCCTACCTAGAGCAAATGGCAAAGGGATTTGGGGTGTGGGGTGGACCGACTTTGTTGGCGAGAGTTGGGGAAGATTTTGAAGTTCCCACGGCTGCCTCACCGGAAGGACTCTCAGCATCTCTTTGTTCCCATAGTAACAAGGGCATGGAACACCTGCTCAACATGAAGTGCAAAAACGTGGTCCCAGTCTACGACCTGCTGCTGGAGATGCTGAATGCCCACACGCTTCGCGGGCACAAGTCCTTGGTCACAGGGTCCGAGTGCAGCCCGGCAGAGGAGAGTAAGAGCAAAGAGGGCTTCCAGAACCTCCAGTCTCCTCAGTGATGCCCATCCTGGGGCGAACAGACCACAGAGGAGGTCAGAGGCTGAAGTGTGAACCCCAAATGCAAACCGCGAGCTCCATCTGGAAGTAGGCGGGCTTCATCGTCTTTCTCCTGCGTGGTCCTTCATTGGGTCATGGTAGGCTCAGCCATGTGCTGTCCTTCACCTGACCTCTCCACTTCCCAGGAGTCAGGCTGAGAAAACTAGGGAGCATGTTTGAATGCAGAGTTTACCTCTCGCTTGGCCTCATAGAATCTCAGTGCGGTTCCTTTCTTACTTTCCATCTCCCTTCTGTTCCTCTGGGAAACATCCTGAAGGTTTTGGAATGAATGGTGGAAATCTGACGTGGAAGGTTTATAAGGTAGAGAGGGAGAGAATGAGGCACTTTAAAGTGGACTAACCTTTAAAGAAAATTTTTTTTAAATGTTTATTATTTTTTTTTGAGAGAGAGAGACAGTGAGAGCAGGGGAGGGGCAGAGAGAGAGGGAGACACAGAATCTGAAGCAGGTTCCAGGCTCTGAGCTGTCAGCACAGAGCCCTACGTGGGGCTGGAACTCACAAACCATGAGATCATGACCTGAGCCGAAGTCGGATGCTTACCCGACTGAGCCACCCAGGTGCCCCAAGAAGTGGACTAACCTTTATTGTGCCACCTAACCTGCCCTTAGATAGGCCTTTGTTTGCCCTCTTCCGGGCTACTTGATTATAGGATTGAAAACCAAACAATGAATGAATGAACTAGCTCTACAAACCTGCTTCACAAATCTGTGAGGACTAAGGCCATGTATCACTATTACCATTGAAGGCCAGAGGGATTGCAACCTGGGGAGCCGGTGGTCAGGCTGGGAAGTGAGCCACGTTCTCCACCCCCACGCCCCCCCCCCCAC